AGATAGATAGTCTGAAATCGTGTAAATAGATAGTGATTAGACTCTGATAAATAAATAGATCGATCAATAGATTAATATATCATGAATAAATTGAGATTCATAGATAGATAGATAGATAGATAGATAGATAGATAGATATGCACAATTTGAGATAGATAGATAGATAGATAGATAGATAGATAGTCTGAAATCGTGTAAATAGATTGTGATTAGACTCTGATAAATAAATAGATCGATCAATAGATTAATATATCATGAATAAATTGAGATTCATCATAGATAGATAGATAGATAGATAGATAGATAGATATGCACAATTTGAGATAGATAGATAGATAGATAGATAAATCGTGTAAATAGATAGTGATTAGACTCTGATAAATAAATAGATAATAGATTATATATCATGAATAAATTGAGAAATAGATAGATAGAGATAGATTAATATTGAGATAGATAGATGAATAAATTGATAGATAGATAGATAGATAGATAGATAGATAGATAGTCTGAGAAATAGAAAATAGATAGATTAGACTCATGATAAATAAATAGATAGATAGATAGATATATATAGATGAATAAATTGAGATAGATAGATAGATAGATAGATAGATGAAAGATAGATAGATAGATAGATAGATATGCACAATTTGAGATAGATAGATAGATAGATAGATAGATAGTCTGAAATCGATAGATAAATAGATAGTGATTAGACTCTGATAAATAAATAGATCGATCAATAGATTAATATATCATGAATAAATTGAGATTCATAGATAGATAGAAATAGATAGAGATAGATAGATAGATATGCACAATTTTGAGATAGAGATAGATAGATAGATAGTCTGAAATCGTGTAAATAGATTGTGATTAGACTCTGATAAATAAATAGATCGATCAATAGATTAATATATCATGAATAAATTGAGATTCATAGATAGATAGATAGATAGATAGATAGATAGATAGATAGATATGCACAATTTGAGATAGATAGATAGATAGATAGATAGATAGATAGATAGTCTGAAATCGTGTAAATAGATAGTGATTAGACTCTGATAAATAAATAGATCGATCAATAGATTAATATATCATGAATAAGATTCATAGAGATAGATCATAGATAGATAGATAGATAGATAGATAGATAGATAGATAGATAGATAGATAGATAGATATGCACAATTTGAGATAGATAGATAGATAGATAGATAGATAGTCTGAAATCGTGTAAATAGATAGTGATTAGACTCTGATAAATAAATAGATCGATCAATAGATTAATATATCATGAATAAATTGAGATTCATAGATAGATAGATAGATAGATAGATAGTCTGAAATCGTGTAAATAGATAGATAAATAAATAGATCGATCAATAGATTAATATATCATGAATAAATTGAGATCATAGATAGATAGATAGATAGATAGATAGATAGACAATTTAGATAGATAGATAGATAGATAGATAGATAGATAGATAGATAGTCTGAAATCGTGTAAATAGATAGTGATTAGACTCTGATAAATAAATAGATCGATCAATAGATTAATATATCATGAATAAATTGAGATCATAGATAGATAGATAGATAGATAGATAGATAGATAGATAGATAGATAGATGCAGATATGAGATAGATGAGATAGATAGATAGATAGATAGTCTGAAATCGTGTAAATAGATAGTGATTAGACTCTGATAAATAAATAGATCGATCAATAGATTAATATATCATGAATAAATTGAGATTCATAGATAGATAGATAGATAGATAGATAGATAGATAATTTGAGATAGATTAGATAGATAGATAGATAGATAGATAGATAGATGGTCTGAAATCGTGTAAATAGATAGTGATTAGACTCTGATAAATAAATAGATCGATCAATAGATTAATATATCATGAATAAATTGAGATTCATAGATAGATAGATAGATAGATAGATAGATAGATAGATAGATAGATATGCACAATTTGAGATAGATAGATAGATAGATAGATAGATAGTCTGAAATCGTGTAAATAGATTGTGATTAGACTCTGATAAATAAATAGATCGATCAATAGATTAATATATCATGAATAAATTGAGATTCATAGATAGATAGATAGATAGATAGATAGATAGATAGATAGATAGATATGCACAATTTGAGATAGATAGATAGATAGATGGTCTGAAATCGTGTAAATAGATAGTGATTAGACTCTGATAAATAAATAGATCGATCAATAGATTAATATATCATGAATAAATTGAGATTCATAGATAGATAGATAGATAGATAGATAGATAGATAGATAGATATGCAACAATTTGAGATAGATAGATAGATAGATAGATATGAAATCGTGTAAATATATTGTGATTAGATGATAAATAAATAGATGATCAATAGATTAATATATCATGAATAAATGAGATTCATAGATAGATAGATAGATAGATAGATAGATAGATAGATAGAAATGCACAATTTGATAGATAGATAGATAGATAGTCTGAAATCGTGTAAATAGATAGTGATTAGACTCTGATAAATAAATAGATCGATCAATAGATTAATATATCATGAATAAATTGAGATTCATAGATAGATAGATAGATAGATAGATAGATAGATAGATAGATAGATTGATAGATAGATTTGAGATAGATAGATAGATAGATAGATAGATAGTCTGAAATCGTGTAAATAGATAGTGATTAGACTCTGATAAATAAATAGATCGATCAATAGATTAATATATCATGAATAAATTGAGATTCATAGATAGATAGATATAGATAGATAGATAGATAGATAGATAGATAGATATGCACAATTTGAGATAGATAGATAGATAGATAGATAGATCTGAAATCGTGTAAATAGATTGTGATTAGACTCTGATAAATAAATAGATCGATCAATAGATTAATATATCATGAATAAATTGAGATTCATAGATAGATAGATAGATAGATAGATAGATAGATAGATAGATAGATAGATATGCACAATTTGAGATAGATAGATAGATAGATAGATAAAGTCTGAAATCGATCAATGTAAATAGATAGTGATTAGACTCTGATAAATAAATAGATCGATCAATAGATTAATATATCATGAATAAATTGAGATTCATAGATAGATAGATAGATAGATAGATAGATAGATATGCACAATTTGAGATAGATAGATAGATAGATAGATAGTCTGAAATCGTGTAAATAGATTGTGATTAGACTCTGATAAATAAATAGATCGATCAATAGATTAATATATCATGAATAAATTGAGATTCATAGATAGATAGATAGATAGATAGATAGATAGATAGATAGATAGATATGCACAATTTGAGATAGATAGATAGATAGATAGTCTGAAATCGTGTAAATAGATAGTGATTAGACTCTGATAAATAAATAGATCGATCAATAGATTAATATATCATGAATAAATTGAGATTCATAGATAGATAGATAGATAGATAGATAGATAGATAGATAGATAGATATGCACAATTTGAGATAGATAGATAGATAGATAGATAGATAGATAGATAGTCTGAAATCGTGTAAATAGATTGTGATTAGACTCTGATAAATAAATAGATCGATCAATAGATTAATATATCATGAATAAATTGAGATTCATAGATAGATAGATAGATAGATAGATAGATAGATATGCACAATTTGAGATAGATAGATAGATAGATAGATAGTCTGAAATCGTGTAAATAGATTGTGATTAGACTCTGATAAATAAATAGATCGATCAATAGATTAATATATCATGAATAAATTGAGATTCATAGATAGATAGATAGATAGATAGATAGATAGATAGATATGCACAATTTGAGATAGATAGATAGATAGATAGATAGATAGATAGTCTGAAATCGTGTAAATAGATAGTGATTGATAAATATATAGAGTGAGATCAATAAAGAGAATGATATATCTTACTTATTATAAAACGCAGTTTGTGTGTGTGTGTGTGTGTGTGTGTGTGTGTGTGTGTGTGTGTGTGTGTGTGTGTGGGTGTACGTTTATATATTGGATCGGATTTCCTACATTTTTCAACTGATTTTAACAAAACTTCACAAGACTGCGTAAAATTACCTTGCCGTGGTTCTGACAGCGCCAAAAATTGGTAAAACACAATTGTTTTTGCACGAAATCAATTTGAAAACACAATTCTGTCGCCAGAATGAAAGGGGGACAACTTATATCGAGTTATACTGATAAAACCCAGGTTGTGTGTGTGTGTGTGTGTGTGTTCGTTTATATATGGGATCGGATTTCCTACATTTTTCAACAAAACTTCACTTTTGGGGGGTGGGCAGGTAGTGTTTCTCATTGTCTTGCACACTTTTTCTTTATTTTTCCATTCAGAATGCTTTAAAAATTCAATTTACAAGACAAGTGTTTATAATAAAATTCTATTCAATCGGTAGACTCATAACGATTGAAAACAATGTTTTTCTTTGAGTTTGACCAATTCGTAAAAAAAAAAAAACTAATTAAGACATGCGTGTCCGTCAACCTTAAACAATAATCTTTGTCAATTTTATTTTTCAGTCTTTATGATGGTCGATACTTGATCTATCTCTTACTGTTACATCCCTGGGCAACGCCGGGCTCTACTGCTAGTCATGAATAAACTGAGATAGATAGATAGATAGATAGATAGATAGATAGATAGATAGATAGATAGGAACAGACTAAGATAGTCTGAAATCGTGTAAATAGATAGTGATTAGACTCTGATAAATATATCGACTGAGATCGATATTGATATACCATGAATAAACTGAGAAGGATAGATAGATAGATAGATAGATAGATAGATAGATAGATAGATAGATAGATAGATTAGGTGTTTTTTCTTTGGTGCAATTCCATGACTTTCATAGAAACTATAGCGTCTCTTCATTCATATTCTTTTCCAGGTTGTTTTGGTAAAGCAGCTGATATTATGTTTGTACTCGACTCTTCCACGAGTATTTGGAGTGAAGACTTCAAGCGTCAACTGAAGTTCGTACGAAACCTCGTCAATTCTTTTGACATCGGGACCGGTAAGTCCCAGGTCCGAGTCGGTGTGATAACGTTCAGCGATGACGCCCACCTGGAGTTTTCGTTCGACAAATACACCAGTCGAAACGAGCTAGAAGACGCAATCCTCGCCATTCCCTACCGAAGTGGGATTACAAACACCGCCGCAGCCCTACGCATGGCAAGGTTACAGCTGGGTAGATACCTTTATGATAGCTCGGGACTCTTTGTGACCATAGTCATCACAGACGGTTTGTCGCAGCTCCCTCACGAGACGGAACGAGAGGCTAAGAACTTGCACACTCTCGGGGTCCATGTCTATGCTATTGGCGTCGGTAAACATTACGATGTCGAAGAGCTAAAGGTAATTGCAAGTGACCCGCTCCACAATGTCTTTGAAGTCTCCAGCTACGCAGTCCTTGAGAATATAGCTCAAAGCTTTAATGTTAAGACATGTGAAGGTGAGTATTTTTTCAAAGTTTTCTCTTAAATATCTCTATATATAAAGTTGTAGCCGCTGTTTGTCTGTTATCAAACTCCTCCTAAGGTTTTGGAAATAAACCACCATTACGATATATATTCTGATACTACATGACTCTCGGTACTTGGATAAGTATATTTCATTTTGATCAAAGGGGACACTCGGGGGGGGGTACAATCCCGCCACTGATTCTCCCCCCCCACCTTTGATATAAATTAAATTTAAATTTGAACAAGGGAATGACTCCTATCCAAAATATAGAAAGAACTGATTTTCCTTACCTTGACTTACCCTGTATTTTAACTTGTTCAGTCCTTAAAGAAAAATCATTTCTAGGTCACTCTATCGGCTCATGTTTACTTCTTTCTTTTCTTTACTTTCTCTCCTTCTCTCCTCCTCTTTATACTCCCCTCTCTTCCCCGTCTATCTTTCTCTCCCTACTCCAATTTTTTTTTTAATCCTTATATTGACATTTTTCTTTTCTTTCTTCTACTTTTAATATTATTTTTTTTCCTTTTCTTCTCCTTTCGCCTGGATATACTGACTCCATTTATTTAAAAAAAAAAAGAAAAAAAAGCTTCGGTCAGAAGAGATAAATACTCATTCATGAAATAAATTATAACCGAATGGATTTTTAAGGATCATCGGTATTCATTATTATATAATCTTTGCATTAATGTCCTCCTTGGAATTATCCCTTCCAATTATCAATATATATATATATATATATATATATATATATACGTAACTCTTCATCCAAGCATGTTCGGTTAAATAATCTGGACATATTCTGTCTATTTATTGCTATTTCAATCCTCTCGAATCCTCTTATCGACTTCTTAATGTTGTTATTAAATTATTAATAATTATGTCATTGCTCTGTTCTTACATTGAGCTCTCTTTGGATTAATGTCCTCCTTGGAATTATCCATTCTAATTATCAATTTATAACTATATATATATATATATATATATATATATATATATATATATATAGGTACCTTCAAAGAAACAGGATACCTAAAGATTAGAATGAATTTTTTAAAATGAAAATTTTTTTGTAGCTATTATTTTATTTTATTTCATTGTTAAGCTAATAATTAAATTTAATATTTCCAATAAGCAAAATATTTTGCTGTATTTCAAAACTAATTTATACTGACTGGAGAGTTTTTTTGTTTTTTTAGTCATTAAAACTCACTAATTTTAACGCCATTTTTAGCCATCTTTCATCAGAATCTCTTTATTAAAAATATAATTTCTTGAAACTTTCTTTGAGGAATATTAGCCGATTGAAAGTGTAATTAATCTAATCTAAGACAAATATTACTTACGTTTAGCTTAAAATACCGAAGAAATGCATTTTTAACAAAGAGACAGGTGTTTTTTTTATGAGATGTTGATAAATCTGTTGTCAGATCAACAGCCGGAATTTTATCTAATTTTTTTCTACGGGTGACATATCTGTAAAGATTACTTGAGGAATATAACGTGAGCGCCTTTTTTATATAATTTTTAACTACCCAGTAATATTAAAAAATTTAGGAAAATATTCTCCGTAATCTAATGTTTTATTGAATTTAAAATTTTTTTAGCTTTAAATTTACTATAGTTACTGCTCTTATTTTCTGATAATGTCAAGTATGGATGTCCGTATTTACAAAAATCGGCACGTTTATATACATACAAAAATTCTTTTTTTTAATATTGGTGGTCTCTGAATTGTAGAAATATTTTTCATTTATGATTAGAAAATATAGATTTACTTAATAACAATGTCACCTAACCAGTAAAAATTAATAGAGAATTTTAAAAGATTTAAAATTTCATAAATTATTCTAATTAAAATCTTTTAAGAAATGATAAGAATTCTTGTAAAAATTAATTATTCTTTGAAAAATATTTTTCTTAATACAGTGATGTTCATAATATATATATATCATTCAAAAAATCAATTAAAAGCTTTTCCAATTAAATAATGTCAGATTTATTGCACATTTTATTTTACAATTCAGAGCAGATTTTCGGCAAATAGGGGTTCAGTTCTGAAAAAAAAAACTTAATAATTTAAATTATCCAAGGAGCATATAATTAATATAAACATTTAAACAGGACAAAATTAATTTCTCGAAATTTCTTAAAATTAAGTAAGTAAGAGTAACAGCTGTAAAAATATTTTTACCAAGATTTTCGGAAACGGAAACATTTCTTAAATAATTAAATTCTTTTGTGAATAAATCCTGAAAGTTTCATTAAAATCCGACAATTATTTGATTTTTACAAGAATTTCCAATTTAGTGTGTTTTTCACTGCAAAAAAAAGAGGTTAAAATTTCCTAAACGAATTTTTGACACGCCACCACCGATACAAGAAAATCAAATTTTTTAAACAAAATTTCGAACGTTCCTCATAGGTTCCAGAAATATGATTTAAAAATCAAAAAATCCCTTCGTCTTTCCTCTTAAGAATAACATAAAGATTTTGACTATAAAACTTTGTTTTTTCTAGTTTGGGGTATTTTTTCATCATGTTATGCCTATTTTTTAGCCAATCTTTGCAAGTACCTACTTTTATGCAACTAGAATTTTTTTGAAAAATACTGACGCATGTTTAAATCCTTACAGCATTTAATATTGTTGAAGTTATCGCTCACATTTTTGTCGAAATTTACAACTCTACGTTTCGTTAAATTTCGCAAAGCAATCGATGAAATTTGATTAAGCTGATTTGTTTGCAAAAATACTTTGACAAAAATTCTACTTCCTGGTTTAATAATTTTAAATTTCTTTTTTTTTTCCTTAACAACGAAGAATAAATTCTTAGGATTTCTTACTCTTGAGCATGAAACATACAACTGGCCATGCGTAAATATTTCTTTCTGTAGCCAAGTTCCAACTTTTTGAAGCGTTTGGCCTTGTGATATGTTTATAGTTCTCGCAAATGAAGGGCGAACTGGAAACAATATATAACATCTTAAAGAAAAGATATGCAAAAAACAATATTGCATTTTTATTAAATAACTATTTTTTATTTTAATAACTAAATTGTTTTTCAAAATAGTGGGAGTATTTTGTATGTTAAATAATGAAACTTTTTCAAAAGAAAATTAATAAAAGAAAATTTTGTACTAAGCTACGCATCCTAGTAAAGAACAACTGTATTTTGTACCCGCCTTACCTGTTTACACTTCTCCCTAAAATTTGGTTTCGATCCGTCAAAGTATGGCTATTTTAGAGGGTGTGACGTACGGACGGACAAAAATCACATCATTTTATATCGTCAGTCAGTCGTTCGCGTCTCGACCGGCTGATCGGTTGAACTCTCTGCTTTTGGGCGGGGAGGAACCCGAACGAGGCTACGCCGAAGGGCAGATTCTCTTTCGGGGAGGTAAACCGGCCCTGAACTCGTTTATACGGGTTCAATAGATATTTTTGGGCCGAGCCCACGGGTCCGGAGATCCCAGCATAAAAACCGGCCTTGTTCACATGATATCCCAGTGGGGGGATGACTGAATATCGTCAGTCAGTCAGTCAGTGAGTCGATGTCGGACGACAGTCAGTCGAATACGAGAGTATCAGCGACCACATCTAGATTACTCTGCGTAATGCCTATTATATCAAGTTCCTAACGTTTTGTACGTCGAACCTATTTTAGGACCGATTTAGTACAAATACAAGCCTCCACTGCGAAATCACTCCTCAACAATAACAATAAGGAGGCATTTTTTGTTTGTGGTCTTTAATAACAATGTCTGAGCGGTTGGCTTTGATTGTTCTGTTACTGTGTATTGTGTAGTCCCATAAAATTGTAACAGGTCCTATCTGCGTAACATGGTCTGGGTGGCGTCCATACCAATTTCTTTTAGTTTCCTTTCCGTAAAAGTTGCAGATTTTCCAGTGCAGATATTGGCCCACTCTGTCATGCCGGGTTTTGAATTCAGTGGGTGACAATACCGTGCAACCTGATACAAGATGATCAATTATTATCATTATTATTGTTATTATTATTCACATTATTATTATTATTATTATTATTATTATTATTATTGGGGCTCACCTGGATGCAGTAAAATAATTTAAGAGACTTTTGGTGTGATTTAAATTATTTTTATTATGTGTGTACATTTTTGCCGAAAAGTGTTACCCATTATCCAAAAACTGAAGAAAATTTAGAATATTATTATTTATTTATTTATTTATTTTTCGAAGGACTTCTTGGTCGCACCGAGAAATTTGAGCGCCATCTTATCTAAATTAACTATGGCTTCTGCCACCTTCATTTACTTCACGAATGCATAGCTTCTTTCAATACGACAAATTATATGTGACATTTACTTTATTCACATATTTTAAATAAGTTCAAATATTGTATCGTCTATTCAAAAATATCATTTATTTTAAATTAAAATATTAGACATTTTCTCTTTGATGTTTTTACTGCCTAGAAACGAAAACGACATTTTTATAATTGTCGATAAATTCTCCGTGGCCCAGTGGATAAAAGCGTTCGTTGATGTAATCCAATGACTTGACCCAAAGAGTTCGGAGTTCAATACCTGGCTACAGGAGAGTTGTGTAAAATAACTGAAACAGAGATATCAAGAATTCCAGGAATTAGTATATGTCCCAGTAGACGAAATAACGGGTTCGGTTCAAAATCCCAAATTATATCACCTGAAGAAAGCCGGAGCGTACAACGGTCGAAACGTGAATATGACAATAAAGATGAGGACAATACCCCGAACAATGTAAATACTACGTGTCAGAAATATAGACAGATCCTGAAGAAGGCCAGGTCTTACAATCACCGAAATGTGAATATGACAATAAAGATGAGGACAATACCCCGAACAATGTAAATACTACGTGTCAGAAATATAGACAGATCCTGAAGAAGGCCAGGCCTTACAATCACCGAAATGTGAAAATAAACATGAGGACAATAGTCTGAATGATGTAAATAGTGTATATAGTTGCAATACCTC